ACGCAAATTTTTTTCGTCTTTTCTGACAACAGTTTTATCCTGACAATGATTTTACTACCTACTTTCGATAATGTTGAAAATTTAATGATTTTTTTTTTTTATAATTTGAATAAACGCGATTATATCGCTCATTCCGTCTAATTATTTTTTTTAAATCTAATATTTTATAATTACTGTTTTCGTTTTTATTTTATCTACTGATAAAAGTATCTCGGTTCTTTTTTTGTTCATCGATATCTAGTCGCGATATAGTTTCGTGCGGCGGGGTTTTTTTTCGACAAATAATAAAAAACACATAAAAAGAAAACGCGAGAAAATCCGTTTCGGATATCAAAGACCGGTAATCTTCTGCCAGCTTAAGGACATCGGTAATATTCAACCGTTTCCGAAGGTCCGTGAGGTAACGAAGCGAGGGGAAAACAAGCAGAACTGGTCTCTCGTACGCGAGCGGTATTAAAAAACTACGCAGGATCGTTCGATAGCGAGAGAGAAAGAGAGAACTCCGATCTCGCGCGAACTCACGCAATAATATAATCCTAAGCCTGGGTAATCTCTTCGCGAGTTGTTTCATTTATCAAGCCCGGGGGGGAGAGCGTCGTCCTTGATTAGTCGCCGATATAAATTTCTAGCGGCTAAATGTCGCTCACTCTGAGGCTGTACACATGTTCGCGAACTGAATAAATACGTAATTAAAATGTTGAGAAAGTTGATACGTAAAATAAAACTAAGTTTCATGAAAATGCAACGGCGGATTGCACGCACTGCGTACGCGCGCAACAAAACTTCGAAAATGTATGCGACTATAAAGTTGAATATACGTGTTTCTTTCGTGCGCTGCCTTCCGTTGTGACTCCTACGGTCATTTTCCACCGTAATCCCTTTGTCCGTTAACGTTAAGACAGAGATAGCCTTGAGTAATGCGATGCATTCAAATGATGTAAAGGTTGTCTCGGGTAACATTCACGCAGCGCGCGAGGTTTTACATTAGAAGAAGATACTTTTAAAAGAAAAGGACCTTTCTTCTTCCAGCAGAATACATCTTTTCTTGCATTTTATATGATTGACATATATATATCAATCATATAATATATATATATATATATATACATATATATATCATATAAAATGATATATATATATATATATATTTTTTTTTTCTCTCTGATTTAATAAAATTGACATCCGAACGAAATTATTACATTACGCGAAGTTTCGCGTATTGTGTCAGGAAGCGTAATTGAATTTTATCCGAATCGCGTGTGTGAATAGATAATGCTAAAAAGTTACGCAAGGATTCCGTCGCGATTGCGATCAAGGTGAAAGTCTTCGAGATCGGTAGAGCGAGACTTAATCGTATCGCACAGGCGTATCTCTTTGCAAATTGCCAAGGCAATTGTCGTTAGAGAATGTCCTTTAATGACTCGCAAGGAGCCGTTTCTAGCTCGCGGGGGATAATCGCGCGCTTCACGGCGGACTTGTTTTTTGTTCGTCCTTTTTCAATCCGACAGCGATATGAATTTCGTTCCCGGCGACTATCTCGTCGCGGCTTTACTCAGATGTCCAGCCACGGCAAATCCATCCGAGAGAGAGAGGACTTTTAATTATCTTGCTTTTATTCGCGATCGAGTCTCCTCGCGCTTGCGCGCGCGCGGAGATGCACGCCTTTCGAGCGGATTAATTCTAGCGCGTCACGCTATATTTCACGGCGAGCTGAGATTTTTTTATTTACCCCCCCGGTAGAACGGGAGAATATCGCTTTTCACGTACAAAGGTTATTTCTTCGAACCGAACAGTTGCTCGTAACGAGCTAGTTACACGATAGAGAGATTTTTATCTCTTTTTAACTTCCTCAGAGATGATACGCGGATTTCTTGTGTACGCGAGAAGATAATAAAAAGAATTTGTATTAATTAATATCTGTACACGGCGCTTTTGAGAGATTTAATTTGCGCATCTTCTCTTTCTCCGGAGAAACCGGCGAGAGAGAAACCGATAACTCTTCGAGCGACATTGCACCACTTTTTTTTTGTTTGCGAAAACATGCGCGAGACGCTTTCTCTCAAATGTGCGAGATACATCGAATTCCTATAACGTGGCAAAAATGCGCATCGCGCACAGAGGTGTGTGAGAAAACGAAACGAACGCAACGTGACAAAATTAGTTTAGGCGCGCGAATCAACATTGCGGCGAAATGACATAGGAAAGGAAAATTTCATTCAACCGGTCATTATTTCCCAAGTAATTGTACGTTTGGTGTTATTCCATGATAAAAGAAAACGATGACTGTTATGAAGCGTTCACGTTGCGTTCGTTCGCGCGAGATTTATCATTCCATTAACGTCAACGTGCTGCAATGTTATCTCGCGCATTCACATGCAAATCAATGTCACAAGAGCTGTTAAAAATTATTCTCCGACACAAATGTTAATTCCCTAAAGCCCAAACTGGTTTGAAAATTCTATTCGTTTTCTCTCTGACTAATTAACTCCTCCGAGGAAGTAACGTCAAAACTATATCAATAAAAGAAACAAGATAAAAAGAAACAAGATAAAATAAAAAAAGGTAAGATAAAATAAAGGACACTGTAAGAGAGATAAGATAAAAACAAAACCTCCGATAATGGAACAAATATTCTGTACACCGAAAAAATTATATTCTTGTAAGTAGAAGATTTTATACTTAAAAAATCTTCTTAAAGATTTTAGATGATATTCTTCTAAAAATTAAAAAGATTTTAGATGATATTCTTCTAAAAATTAAGAATATGTTCTTTATTTAAGAATATATTCTTTATTTAAGAATATAGTCTTTTTCGATAGTGAGATATATATATATTTTTCTATAGAGGCTTTTTATATTCTAATCAGTATATATTCTTATCAATATCACTATTTAGAGGATTTTCCTCTTAAAATAAGAAACTCTTCTTGGCGTCTATTTTAGTATAAAATATACTTAAAGTAAGTGGGATATCCTCAAAACAAGAGTACAATTTTTTCGGTGTACATACTCGTTCGAGAAGACTAGGATTTTTACGTAGGATTTTTTCAATTGTATCATATCTCGGAGCGGAGAATTCGGGACTGATATAATCGCGACGATTTGATTTTTCTCCGAATTAAAACCATATTAATGTGCCGCTGTTCCGGCGGATTATGTCACGAAAGGATCTCGTGCGCGCAGACTCGACCCGGGTTAAAACGGACGGACGGAGCTCCTTACCACGGGAGGACTCTCCCGCGTTGGCCCCGGGGTGAATCAGTCCTTTGTGCCGGACTCTCTCAGGGTCAACCACTTTCGGTTTGCAGTATATGCTTCCCGACGGTTTGTATGTACACTCGCAAACACACTCGCCCGTCCCGAGCGAGCCTACAGGGTGTCTTGAAAGTTGCCGCGCCAATAGCCAACAGTCAAGTACCACCCAGCTATGTGTGCACGTAGAGCTAGGGCACTTTCAGGAGGACTGACTCATCGCCGTGCGTTTCTGTAGACTCTTCAGGCTGCGCGTCCTCTTGAAATCGGGAATGAACAGAGGAAAGAGAAAGAGAGAGATAAGATTGGAGTCGTGCCTCGGCCGGAAATTCGTATTTCTTGAATAATAAGTTTCAAGCTGATACGCGTGAAACAAAGCTTATAACAAACAGAAGTTAAAAAACTTTGTCTTACACGAGAAAAAATGCAATTAAAATCACTGCAGTCAGACTTACGCATTGTATGTTATATAACGATGTAGCGTCTGCGCGCGTGTTATCGCATGATCGGTCGTAATTATATGATAATGTTGCGGCGAAAAAAGGAGATCTTGCGCGCGTGCATCGCACGGTAAAAGAAAAAAAACCAGACAACAGAGCGTCGGAGTTAAAAGCTCATCAGGAACGCGCATCCATTTGCTGAAGGAGATTCATTTCGGTTAAAGTGGTCGCTTCAAGAGAAACGTTTTCCTTACATCGTCCAAATGGGATAGAGACAGAGGAGGAGCCAGTTGTTCCTTTTCTTTTTCCAGCGTGGCGGATCCCAAAGTTTATTGGCTCGACGCGGTCCAAAGTCAAAAAAATAAACGGAATAAACCGCGCGCGAGGGATCAAGGATACGGTGGGAGTAAGTTTCGCAGGAAACGCACACGAAGGACTAAAAAGAAAGAGAGAAAGAGAGAGAGAGAGAGAGAAGCTAACAGCGAATTCGTCTTTGCTTGTGAGAGAATGTTTCTCACGAAATTTCTCATCACGATTCACGAGTCCTCTCTGCTAATTCGTCTCGCTGCTGATTCATATTCCCGATGTCTCGCACGCAGACAATTCATCGCGATGCGATCGCACCGCAAACGGTTTCTTTTTCTTCTATTTTCATCAAACAATCTGCTCTCGCAGCGATTGAGTTAGCGTTAAGAGGTAATTGATTTTTGTATTCGGCGAACAGGTTCGATAAATCGTTTCGCGAGGATATCGATAGGATGTACCTGACGCACGCAGAATGTCTATCTCACGATTCTCACGTCTCTCTCTCTCTCTCTCTCTCTCTCGCTCGCTCGCCTCGTGATCAAGAAGATACAAGTTTATATTGCTGACGTCACTGACGTAAATCCACGGCTGATGAGCCATTTTTCGCAGTCCGACCGAGCTGCCATAATAGCTTTAAGTAAAACTATAGAGTTTGACTGTAAGTTTGCTCGCAATAGTTTCCGCGACTTTGATAACGAAACTCCTTAAATAAATTTTGACAAGTTAATCGCGAACAATGAAATCAATTAATTTTTTTTTCTACTAATTTAAAATAAAATAATACGATCGTATATCAAAATAAATAATCACTAAATAGATTTAAAAACAAATTAAAAGTAAAAGTCTCTCGTTAAGTTTTCTCCACAGTAAAAAATTCCTTTACTTAAAAAAATTCTCAAATATAATAAATAATAATAATGAAAAAAAAAACAGAATTTAATAGCAAGTTGTTTCTTTAAAAAACGATTCTCGTGACATATGATCGTGACAATTTTGTTTCAGAAACGAGACGCATGACAGACGATACTAGGCGGGCGTTATCAGGCGAGGGTTCGGTAGCTTTCGGCGACGCGATCAAAAGATGTCGGATGCCGATGGCATGGACAACCTGGCGTTCACTAACGAGGAAGATACGAAGCTGGAGAATGGCGGTCCCCAGCAAGTGACCCTAGATCAGGACTCGAAGTCCTCGGGGGACGGGGCGCCGATTGAAAATGGTCATCAGCGATCCTTTATCTCCCAGCACTACGTCGAACCTATCAAATCAAGCTCGGAGCCATGTTACAAAACAGAAACGAGAATCGAGTTGCCGGCTGATAACGCGGAGAAAAGTTTGCCCGAACCGAAGCTTAATGGCGTTCATGGGAATGGCAATAATAACGACGCCAGCTTCCTCAACAACAGCTCCACGAGCGTGCAGGTCAACGGTAAGTTGTCATCTCACACATCGTGAGACGTATATTTTTTCTCTTTACACACGCGAAAAGCAGGAAGCGCGCGCCTATTTAGCGTCGTTACCATTTCGAGGAATGTGGTTTCTCCGCAATTTTGTATGTGCAACCGGAAATTGGAAACCGGTTGCACCTCCACGGATATATATCTCGCGGGAGTTAAAACGGTTTCTCGTTTTTCGTAGATACGGGAAAGAAGGAACAGATCGAGGCCGTAAACCTAGAACTGGTCTCGATGAGGCCGTACACGGGCAACAATATTCAGACGAAGGGTCAGGAAGCCTGCGAGGTGCCGACTGATCCTTACGAGGAATACTTTGTGCCGGTTAACGAGCATCGAAAGTACATCAGGTAACGAGTTGTTCGTCTAAGGAAATTGGTATCTGCGCTTACGCACTCATTTTTCCTTTCTGTGTGTGTGTGTGTGTGTGTGTCTGTCTGTCTTCTAACTCTCATTAACTATTTTTACGTAACTACCAGCCCGGCGTACCACAAATTCCTTCAAATTTTAGGAATTTTCTCTTGTGATTGCTTATAATTTTCGCACAAATAAAATAAATTATATTTTATAATAAAACTAGGAAATTTTGATGAATAAACCCAAGAAAGTTCTTTAGAGAAGGCGTGTATTGCAAAGTTGCGGACGTGGAGTTTGGGTATCACAAGATAGAGATATAATTTTCCCAGAGAAAAAGAGATATGTCTCTCTTGTATGTGTTTCGGTGAAAGTTGTCAGGCGATAGAGATGCCTCCCCAGCACCGTGTTTAGCTCCCTCCAGCAGATCAAAGTACAGCGCACGGAAAGCTTGGCCGCTGCCGATAGAAAAAAAAAAAAAAAAACAAAAAAAAACACTTCACACATCGGTGGAGAGAGTTAGACGGTGTTTTCTGTTGTCACGGTACTTAGCAGGAGTCCCGAAGCCGAGGTTGAAACAACCGTGGCTGGAGTACGTTTTGATCTGGGTCCCGGCGTCGGCCGCGAGGGACTCAGCCTGAGAGACCCCGCCGCCGGACTGGTCGACTATTCCCACTGGCTGACAGCCCTCAGGTACTACTTGATGACGGATGCTTTCGAGGATGAGGAAAGAAAAGGCTGGGGAACTGTCTTTTAGTGGAATATATATATACTTAGGTGTCTCTCAGGGGCACGCGGTCGCGCACTAACACGCTTATGCTGACGCTCCTCCGCCCGTCGGGTCGAATAATGTTCCTCCATAGACTGCACGTTCGAGAATTCGCCCTTCGCATTCGATCGCGTGCCGATATAAACCGAGTCCAGCTTCCAGAGAATACATTAGAGAGAATACATATATATTTCGCCAAATAGATAAGATGATCGATCGATGTTTGACCGATGTGAATCGAAAGTGTAGTATACACATGTAGACATCTACGTATGCATAAAATCTCCTGCTGTTTTATTTCACGAAACATATCTAAGATATTCTAAGAAAATGCGCGACAAGCTATACACATTACATCACCGTGCGCGATTATGGGGTGTGATTTACCAGGGAAGCTTCTAATTTTAATAAACGGCTGATGATACTGACGAAAAGTCGCTAAGGAAATGCGTTACACGCGCAAAATGCTGTACAAAATACGCTTTCTGGGTTTAGGACGGAGGAAGAACATTTAAGCGCGCGCGTGACAGATTATCGTCTCTACGTGGTTGTCGAAATTGTGTTGCAGGGGCGAGAAACTTTACGTCACGAAGGACAAGAGATCCAAAAACTCGTACTGGAGAAGAATGGCCTGGGGATGCGCGCTGCTGGTCATAGCGATCGCCGTGATTATCGCCATATTAGCCGCAAGTAAGACGTCTTCTTTTTCTTCATTTTTTTCCTGAAGAATTAAAACATTAAATGTGTAACTTAAAAATTGATTACGTAAAATTGCACAAAAACTCTTGAATTTGTTTTATAGCTGGCGTAATCTTCACACAAGAGGCTACGGAACCCTTAACAAACGTGGACGAGAGTAACGCCAATCAGTTCAATGAAGTGCACACGGCCGGAAGTCAGGAATACGTAAAAAATCCGCCGTCGAGTCCGCCGCCTTTAACTTCAAGCTTTCCACCGTGGCCTACGACCGACGAAACGATACGACAGACTGTGGCAAATGCTTTAGACGGAATCTTGCAACTGGACGATTTTGATTGGAATGACGAGCTGAGCGACACCAAGTCGCGAATGTACAGACAAGTAAGCGATGAAATAGAGCGATATCTTGGCGACATTCTTGAGCAGGCGAACGGTAACAAAGTGCCTGTGATCAAAGTGTACGATATCAATAAAGAAGGAGAAGTGAAATTCAGAATAAGTAATTCACCAATAGCGTCTCCAAAGGAGAGTCAGAAATACATTGAGAAAACTTTACGTAAGAATGGTAACATGATTGGACAGTATCATTTGAGCAGGTTACAAGTAGGAAATTTGATTGATCAATGTGAGTACAACAACAAGTGTACCGAAAAGTGTAAATACGATCACTCTACAAGTGAATTTTTATGTAGTTGTGAGCACGGGAAAATCTTGAGTCAAGATGGTAAGACTTGTGTAGATAATGATTTGAGTAACGTCGAAATAGATGACGTAATGACACACTCCACGGAGTCGAATCATGTTCAGGGTAGAAGCAGAGATCCAGCACAATCCGAACCTAGAAATCCCGTTTGGGATGATCCGAACTTCAAGACATTATTCAAGACGGAAACACCGAAAATTGAAAATGTTCCAGAAGCTGATCAGGAATCATCAACAACAAAAGACATGCATAATCTTGAAGATAATTCTCAATGGAATCGCGAACACTTACATCCTTCAATGGAAACTACTGAACCAGAACCTTCTGTTGAATTATCATCTACCACGATACGTTCATTTACTGTCCCGTTATTTGTATCAGAGCCTTCTGCCGAGCCAGAGCCTACTATTGAATCAGAGCCTTCTGCCGAACCAGAGCCTACTATTGAATCAGAGCCTGTGGCTGAACCAGAACCTACAGCTGAACCAGAACCTACAGCCGAACCAGAATCTACAGCTGAACCAGAACCTACAGCTAACCTGGAACCATCAGCGAAACCAGAGCCTGAATCAGAATCGGAATCATTAGCTGAACTAGAGCCTGCAACTGAACCAGAGCCAACAGCTACATCAAAATCTGTTAGTGTATCGGTTGCTTCGTCAGATTCTAGTACTCCGTCAGAACTTACTGCTGAGTCAGAGTCTACAACTATATCAGAATCTATTTCCGAACCTACTTCCGAACCCACTTTCAAATCCATTTCCAAATCAGAAATTTCTACTGAAGTTGCACCTATTGTTGAAGAAGAATCAGTAACTAAAGAAAAATTTACTACAGAACCAATACCTGTCACAGAACCAGTAAAAATTTCCAATGACATCAATGTGAAATCAGAAACAATACCGTATCTGATAACAACACAAATGAATTTGGAATCAAATACTGAAATATCCAATAAGCCAGAATTCGTTACTAAATCGACATCTAATGACGATAACGAATCATCAGTTACACAATTAACACTTTTAAATGACGCAGATACATTTGATGAAACCAAATCACTTATTGATTTGTCAAATGAAAATAACAGTTCTGAAACTAATGATTTTCCAACTACCACCATGAAGATTAATGAAACTTCAATAAATGACGATGCGTCATTGCAGGTGATACCTTTAATGGCCAAAAGTGATTCTACAGATGTGAATGATGAGATAACTAAAACGGAGTCAACGACATCGCAATCTTATATAAATAAAGATGAAATTAGCGAAAGCACAACTATCGAAGGCGATCTCACCACCTTAGATTATCGAGATTCGAAACAGAAAAGTGACCAAAATGTCACAGCGATCAAGTTTGAAAATGACGAAGAATCGAATACCGAACGAGTCACAGAAAGCTCCGATCTTCCGGAAAATAAAGAAAACAATTTCACTACGGAAATAAATCTTGACGAGAGTAATATCGAAAATAAAAACTTTTCGAACGAAGAACACGATCTAACAACCGAACAACAACCGAGCTCGGTTTCTGATCAGTCAGTTTCAACCACAATCGTACCTACTACCACACCAGTAGTCACATCAACAGAAGACAAAACAGAAATAACTACCAAATTCACGTTCAACAATGACAAATATTCTCACACGATAGAAATAAACGGAGTGAGTAAAAACGTAGAAATACATAATACTCCTATAATCTACGAGACTACGACACCAAAAGCCGCTTATATCGATACGTCCACTGAGCCGATATCTAGTCACAACGAAGAACACGTACCTCAAAACGCGTTACAAACCGAAATACAAAATTCCAACGAAAAAAACGTCATCGAACACATGCCAACGACGGTCTTTCCTAAAGTGCCCAAGAACTTTGCTCACAACGTAGAACCGCTGAAAGATCCTATCACGAAGAAGTCAATGGACGACGAACACATCATGATGATACCGAAGTCCGAGGAGATACATGCAAAAATTCCCGAACTTATTCCGGAACAAAGTTCGCAATCTACAAATGAGTCTCGGCAGGTAGAAAACTCGACGGTAGAATCGAACAACGGGGTGGTAATTAAAAGTTCGGATACGAAACAATTCGTTGAAGATACAATCTCGATCGCTACGGTGCGTAGTAATGATAACATCGATAACAACGTCACAACGCGTTTCGACGAAGTTCAGGAACATTCGACGAATCATCCGCTTCATCCGGCAATATTGCCGGAAAATTCGGTTCCTTCCGCAGTAAAATCTGACGCCAATGACGATCGTCTAGAAGATATGTCTCCTTTCTTACCGGATGTTAACAGGGAGAAAGAAAACGCGAAGAAAGCGCCACGTCTGGACAAGGACGAGCAGGATGTTCCCAATCCTTTCGAAACTCACATCGATGACGTTATAATGCACCGGCCGCTGATGTACGCGAACAATACGGAACGCGAAGTGAAAATAACCAAAGACTTATTGAACGATGTTAATTTACATACGAGCGACGAAAAGACGACAGACGTTACGGAGAAAACAACGGAGATTAAAGCGAATGTTAACGACACGAGCAACGATAATACCAGAGAAACCATACAGAACGATTTGGATAACGTCAGTGACGTTAACAATAATACCGAATCTGAACTTGAGAAAACAATGAAAGACGATAGTTCCGCGATATCAAACAGTAGTAACACAACGAAGGACACGATTGGAAACAATAATTTCTCTGAAGAGGATAGCGAGATATTAAGAGTAATTCCATTGGCGGATCCAACTTCTCAAATGAATAAAACATCGAATAAACCTGATGTTGGTTTGGGTACGAAAGAGCTGAAGGAAGAAGAAGAAGTAAAAGATTTCGCAATTAAAAACGGAGCAATCAATTCGGAAAAGCTGGAGGAGAACGCCGTGGAGGATCAGTACAACGACATTACGGATGAAAATTTGTCGAAGGAATATAAGAGCAAAATCATTTCCGCCAAAAATGTGGCGGAGCCAAAGAAAGCGGTTTTGAACGACATCGATATCGTTTCTTACAAAGACACGACGTCCTCTTTGACAAACGCGTTTGCGAAGGAAAGAAACGATACGAGCGAGCGAACGTCATCCGATGCGACGCAGAGTACGACGACCGAAAGAGCGGAAGGAATCTTGAACAATCAGACGGAAGACGTCAAGCTGACCACTCAAGAACCCGTGTTGCCCATAGAGATCCAACAAGAGATGTCGACGACAGTCGCCACGGACAAGGTCGAAGTTACCACGATGATCGACGAAGTCAAACAGCAAGATGCGAAACAAACAAACGTTGCACAACTCGACGACAAGGAAGTTACAGCGGCCCAAACAACTCAATCCACACTTGAGGCCAAGACCACAGCCCAAGTTCCGATTCTGCCCGAGGAACTGCAAACGACGGAAAACGATATGCTGGCAACGACAACGTCAGCGACGTTGAGCGAAGAAATGGAAACGAAACAGACAGTTGTCGCGAACGAAAAAGAGTCGTCAGAGAACAATAAAGACAAGACAACCAAGGAAGAAGACATTGTTATCGATACGTCAGAAAGAAGCATGGCGGCCACGACGGTGTACGAAAGTAACGTGAGCGTGGGATCCACTTGGAAAATGGAAGACGAGAACAGCAATGAACAGATCGGAACGACGACTCCCGGTTCGATGGACGACGCGAAGATAATCGGAACTACTCCAATGTCAACAACGGAAAAGGATATTGCGAGCGACGCAGTCACTACCACGGAAGACGTCAGACCGGTCACCGAAATGGTAGACGACACGCCCATGATCGAGTTCGATTACAGAAACCTATTCACCACAACTCCGAGATTGTTAACATTGATCGAGTCGGACGAACCGTCCGAGGAAGCGCTCACGGTTATACCGCTGGAGAAAAGCCAGGAAGGCAAGAAGAAATCGATCGACAAGAAGAGTTTCGACAAGTACAAGTACAAAAAAGAGAAGGATCTGAATCTGGAGAGTCAGGAAGAGGAGAATGTGCTAACAACGGAAAATCCTATAGGTTCCATTACCATCTCCCAAACGGAATCACCGATTATTTCCGTGCAAAATGACGAGGAGGTGATCGACAGCGCGGTGAGTTCCGAAATAGATCCCAATTTGCCCAAGTTCATTCTGGCTGACACGGAAGGCAACATCCTGCCCGCGTCAAAGATAAAAAACATCGAGAGCACCGATAAGAAAATCGATACGAAACCTAAGAATTATCCCAGCTTCATACCCGTGTCCGAGGATATAATCGAACCGATACCGGTCACGGAGCCTTACATGATGAAGCGAAATTACACTTATCCTGCGACCTCGTCGAGCGGAACGTCGAGCACGATTGCGAACGAAACGATCGAAGGTCGCGCGGACGACCCAGAAACCGATCTCTCTCACGGAAACGCGGGAGCGAAAGAGACGACCGAGCAACCTGTCACTTTCGTCTCGGATCAATCGTTCGGCGACGAGGAAACGAAAGTTGATCGCGTTACAAAAAACCCAACCACGATCCGGTTGACCGTGCGAACCACGCCGCTGAGCGTCGAGAGCACGACGATTGCCAGCAGTCTGTCGAAATGTACAACGGGCCAATTCCAGTGTGTGAACGGCACGTCCAGAGACGGCGCCTATTGCGTATCGTTGTCCGCTAAATGCGATTCCGAAAAGGATTGTTCCGACGGTTCGGACGAGGCGAACTGCGAGGGCTGTCCGGACAACTTCCGCTGCGCCAGCGGACAATGTCTCAAGAGGCATCTCGTGTGCAACAAGATCGCGGACTGCAACGACGGCAGTGACGAGCAAAACTGCGAGAACTGGGAGTGTCAGTCGGATGAGTTCAAGTGTCCAAGCGGTAAGTGCGCCGAGATTCTATATAAACGATTGAAAATTCGTATATTGTTGATGTCATTTCTGTCTGATTCTAAAAATATGGATGATTGCAGGAAAATGCATTCCGGCTCTGTGGCAGTGCAACGGTCGACCGGACTGCGACGATCATCGGGACGAGTACAACTGCGCCGAGAGCTGCGGAAACAACGAATATCTGTGTCCCACAGAGAAGTGGTGCATTCCGCAAACTTGGCACTGCAACGGAATCGCCGAGTGCGTAGACGGAGAGGACGAAAAGCTGTGCGATTGTTCGCTTGATCAGTTCAAGTGCCAAACAGGCGGATGCGTATCTCTTAATCAGGTTTGCGACGGCATCGAGAACTGTCCGGATTATTCGGACGAATGGAATTGTCTAAACCCCAATGTTACCGCGGGCAGAAATCTAACTAGCGCGGCAATTAATATCGATACCGACAACAACGATACGATAAGTGGATCGACTGACCGTGTGCCATTGTTGAAAATAAAGTGAGTAGCCTGAGCAAATACAAATTGCCAGATAAAAATACAAATACTCGTGCTCGTAATAATGGAGTTTTGTAAGTTAGATATTAAACAAGACTCTCAACTGCTATAATTGTGCCTTAGGCAATATAACGGCGATTATCAACTAGTCTGTTCGGACGGATGGAGCGAGGAGTTTAGCGATTCCTACTGTCGGACGTTGGGATTCGCCGGAGCCGAAACTACCGAGTCGTCCTCGTGGAATCAGACCGAAGACAATAGCATTCTAAGACTGAAAACGAATCCCGATCACCGGCAATCGCTAGTCACAAATCTGCAACAAGTAGATTTCTGCGTGTCAGGAAAAGTCGTGCGAGTTTCGTGCGAGGAGTTTGCGTGTGGTATGCACTACGCGTCGGAAGAACCGACCGCGAGATCGATCGACGGGAATCCGATCAGTGACGGACATTTGCCCAGCGTCGGTTTGTTGAAGGAGGAAAAGGACGGGGCCGCTTGTACGGCTAGTATAATCGGTCCTCTGCATGCTGTGGCCAGTTACTCTTGCATCTACAGGTGAACGAAATATTCCGAGAAAAATTTGCGAGATATTATCAATAAAGCTGCCGACTTTCTAATTCACATCGCAAAATACAAAAACGAATCTTTATAGACTCTTTCTAGATCATTCGGTAAAACTTTGTAATTGTAATTGTGCAGAAACAAGAAGAGGAGCAGATGGCAACTTTTCGCCGGGAACGATATGATGAAGGGATATCCTGTCAAAAATATCGTACCCTATCCTCAAGCAAAATATAATCAGTTCCTTTACAACAACGATATCGCTCTGATCGAATTAGAAGAGCCGTTAGCACTTTCCAGAAATATAAGCGCCGTGTGTCTTCCCAGACAATCTATCCAGGTATACTTTTGACACACACACATATATACCACGTATATATATATATATATATAATTTTTTTTAATTTAAACATCTTTCTTCAATAAATTGTTTATGATTATTAGCCGAGGCAAATCTGCGTAACGGCGGGATGGGGATTCCCCGTAAACGGGGAAGTGAACTTGCAACAGTATCACAAGTTCTTGTCTCTTCCGACATACGATTCCGCGAAATGTAACGCAACGAGTCTTTACGCAGGATTCATCACGGAACATGATATATGCGCAGATTTCACCGACACAGATAAAGGCTCTTGTTATGTAAGTTCGTAAAAAAAAAAATATCGACTCATTTATCACATTATTTGCAGAAAGAGACGCCGAAAGAATTTTGTTAATTAAAACATTTATATCTACTGTGTGATATGCGTGTATTTTTTTTTTTTTACTTTCAGAATGACGAAGGAGCGCCCTTGATGTGCGTCAGTGAGTCGCAGAGTGCGTCGGAGAGGTGGGAAATTCAGGGGTTACTAAGTCACCGTAGATGCTCGAGAGGTCCGGCAATTTATTCGAGCACGGAACCTGCGCTCTCGTGGCTGCGCGAAACAGTGCCAGCTTTGCGAACGCAAAGTTAAAATTCATTATTATCGTACAGATTTCCCCGAGATATATAAAAGAAGTCAGTATACTTTAAGATACATTGTATATTACAATGCAAAACTTGCGATGTTAATAAGTAAGAAAAAAAATCGTGATTGCGGAAGAAGTGCACAGCAGAACAAAAGTCTTACGTTAGATTTTTTTTTTTTATTTTTCTTTTCAATGCTTTAAAAAAAAAATAAAAAATAAAAAATAAACCAATTACACATTCGTATGCATATGTAATTTATATTTTCACGTTTTTTCTTCGAAATATTTTGTAACATTGATGTTCCTAATGCAAGTCGTTTTCTCCTCTCAAACATTTTTCTTCTATAAAAAATACTTAAAACAAAACAGAGATTGTAAGATGCGCAATTTATAAATTCTGTACGAGTCATCACACGAAGATATGCGTAAGAAAAAAAAAACCTCAAAGAGACGAAATTTATACTAACTTTTGTAATTAAGGAAATATTATGTAAATACTGTATAAAGTAACTTTTTATTATGAATAATATGACATAAGAAGTTTAGTAAAATGGGTCTCTTCAATTTATATACATTTTTTTTACGTGTAAAACATTGTGTTTGCTCATTACTACATTTATATTAGACGTGATCGTTTCCCTAATCGCAGTGAAAGGCAATTTTTTTTGTTGTGATATTTTGAATAATTCTCTGTAATGCGTTTCTCATATGCACTTAATTAAGAGACAATTTTAATTATTTTCATTCAGATTAAACGCGCAAGAGACCGATATACATATACATTCTGATTTATATATACAATCGACAGTTTTGTCTCAGAAATCCTGAACGAAGGATTTCTGAAACGAGAACAATGGATAGTATTAAGCATTAGATAGGATAAATGTATATATATATAAAATATATGACTATATTTTAATAAAAACGCATTATTACAGAAAGAGAGAGATTTCATCGATCAAGAGAGCATGTTCTTATATGCGTACTCTCCTTGATGAAATGCGTATTTTTATATTGCAAGTAAAATGTGGCAAATAAACGTATTTTAAACAAGCCTAGCACTTTCTCTCCTTACAAAATCTAATTGTTTTTAAAAAAATGTTTTGCTATACAATAAATAGATTTTAAAAAACTACTAAAATGAAAAATAACACAAAGAGCTACTAAAATAATTATATAACCTATGTACTAAAACGCGATATATAAATTAACATGAATACATTTAAATATTTACAGACACAAACTAACATCTTCAGTCATCTATTTGCTTTTTTGGTTTGGCCGCTACTTCAGCAGCTGTAACTGCGGCATTTAGAGTAAGCAATGATTCTGATATACTGTTTATGACCGCGTTGTACTTGGACAAGAGATCGCGCACGTGCGCATTTAACTCCTCGGAATCCTCGTAAGCTTTCAGATATGACAACGACAATTTGTTGAACGTGTTGTTTAGCTCAGGTACATTTTTTATACGTTCGGACTCCAATACAGGTGCGAGCTCTTGGACCTTGGTCAGCAGCTTGTAATTTTCCATGATTTCTGGCTCCATCGTCAGCAACAATTGTATTTTGGCACTCGCAGGCATATCGACGTCCTCGGAAAAGGGCTCCAAGTAGCTGTTTAACTCGGGAAACCGTTTGATAATCACGCTGGGATTTTCTCTACCCGACAATGCCGAGTAAAGAAGCGAATTGATATCCAGGAGACGATCGACGATAGGATTCTGCGGCGCGGAGTCGTCATCGTCGTCGTCGATATTCGCTGTTTTGCCGATCCCATACATCTGCTTCTCCAAATTCGCGATTCTGTCTTCCAGCAACTTGATGTTTGACATTTTTGAAACTAAAAATACAAAAACATGTATCTTCGCGCGCTCCTTTAAATAAAAAAAATGTGCCATAAAATATATATACAAATTAGTAGTAGTAGTAGTTCTTATCAATAATAAAGTTTAAGGAATACTTACTGTTGTGGAAATGCTGATGACGGAATTTGACAGAAGTTCTTGGAGGTTATGTTGAGATTACTTCGATCGTTCTCACTTGACACGCGCGTGTCTCACGTGACCGTTCGACCATTCGAGTCGCTTTGCGACTCTCGAATCTCAACAAGGCGCGGTAAATTTTACAAAAACACATAATCTCGTTCTTTTATTGAGAGAGATATTTTTATGACGCACGGAGCGTAAAGTTATATTTTTTTTGAGAAAGCAATCCACACACGCTCTTAAATCCTCGTCGTGTTTATGCGTAAAAAGAAAAATCATCGCGCTGTATAATTGTATCACCAAGGGCCGGTTGTTTCCACTTTCGGATAAACTATCGGATAATCTATCTAATGGTTACCCGATAGTTTACCTGAAAACGTGGAACACAATCGGCCCCATATCTGGCAAATGACCAGAACCAGAAAGATAAATTACACGGCACTCTCACGGTAAGTCGTACCTAACAGATAAATATGTATAGAAATAAAAACCAGTGGAAGATGCGCTCAAGTCAAGTTCTTATCCTATAGATAATAATCTGTCGAGTAAGCTTCTCCTCCTGTAGATAATAACCTGTCGAGATTTATCGAAAGGTAGAACAATCGGCACTTAGTTTCTGGTCATTTACCGGATAAATAAATTTTATCGACGCGTGAAACAACGCAAATCAGGGTTTTAACCTTTAGATAAATAGATTACACCCGATGCTTTATCTGAAAAATTTTATCTGAAAGTGAAACAATTAGCCCTAAAGTGAAGTGTTATAAATAACGTACATTAACACACACACACAACAAGTTATGAGACGTAACATTGTCACTGAATGTAAAAGACGCTTAACGAAACTAAATGATGTGACAACGGCAGTCAAGAGCAAACGCAATCTCTTTAGAAATAAACAATTGTTTTCGGAGATAAATTTCGAATCGACATTAAATAATTATGATAAATTTCAAGCATTTCTATATAAATATATTTCTGGAGCAAATAGATTTCACTTCACTCACCGTTGGCAGAAATTTCTGATTTTTTCTTTTTGTTCCAGCGTGTTTTTTTATTTCGAAAAGAAACTCCTTCCGGTTTTTTTTCCACAATAGAACCGACCATTTTGAGCTCGCGACCTTTCCAGATTATTTACAAGAGAACCGGCCATTTTGAGCGGTTTCCTTTGCTCGCTCTACTTCTCTCTTTTCTGTTTACACGATGCGGATTCTACTTACGCGGTTTTGCAGTTCTATTTTCCCCGTTTACGCGGTCACGTTCTTTTCTTCGTAAACCAAGCGATACGATGAAAAAATGTTACTTATTTTTTAACGAGAAACGTGTGCAACCGCGCGCGAGTGCAGCGACCGTCTGCGCGACGCGCGAACTTGCATCGACTCTCGAACATTTGTCGTTAACTTCACGCGATACCACAAACTGTACATAGAGAATTGTATAGTTTATCGCAAATAATTTGCACACTTCTTCAATATCATTTATCCTCGCAAAGTAAACATTCATTCTATTTATCTGTAATTTGTAGTTAAATAGTTGCTAATATTCTATTACAAAGTTCTACTTTTTTCTCTTTCTTTAAAATTTACTAAAAAAAAAATAGTAATTGTACTATTATATTTAATACGCATAGTTGTGTAAGGACTAGGAATCGCACATGATATGTAAATTGTGAATAAAGTATACATAATCGCATATAATCTAATTTTCCGACTTAGACACTAAAAATGAATAGACACTACTTATAAATGCACCTTTGTTTAATTATATAATTAAAACACGTATAAGTATACATACACAATAGACAAAATATATATAAAATTAGTGAATATAATACTGTAATATAATACTATAAGTTATTACAGTCTTATAACAGTTTCAGGTATACCGCGTTATAAATCTTTGTTCAATTGCTACTGAGCCTCTCGATAAATATGTACTGTCAAATGTACATCACATTGCGAAGACAATAACATCAGCGTACCTAATATATTAAAAAGGACCCACCACCCACACTATTATAAATCTTTATCTTTAACAAGACAAGTCTTTGGATCTCAGGTAAAATAAATTAACAGCCATTAAAATGTCACAACTCCGTTAATAGAACAAGAAGGTAGAAAATGGCCAATCACAGGCACAATTTGAGAGAGTAGTGAGAGTATTTAAAAATCCTACGCGTAAAGATCGTCCTACGTTAGTCGCAAGAAGCAAACGCAAGTCGCAGATCTTGCAGAATTGATTAATCGCATTGATCAAATTATTTAACATAATTAGGTTCATTCCGCAAAATCTGACTTGCGCTTGCGTCTTGTGGCTAATATACAATGATCTTAAAAAACGTGTTATTTAATAATACTACTATTTATCTGCGCGCCAAATATTTATCCGCATACAAGCGTGCTAAGAAAAAAGTAGCCGTCAATCTTCCTCCTTGTTCGTACATACACTTTTAAAATATTGATTACATATAAACAACCATAGTTTTTATCATATTTTCAAAGTATCTTATAAAAATAACGTATATGTTCGTATTATAAAAATTATATATTCTAAATATTTTTAAATTAAAATAGTATAATATGGGATTATTAACAAGATGTATATAAGGCCCTACGAGCCATTCGCAGGATGTTTGAGTAGAAACTGTACGTGTATATATATACATACACATGTAACGAATTCAACTTGTAAATTTTTACAAGTGAGCGTTTTTTGAGTTGAACAAACATCCTGCGAATGGCTCGTAGGGCCTTATATACATCTTGTTAATAGAGCCTTAAGTCATAATTGTTTATAATATAAACAAAAGTTCCTAAAAGTAAGCAAGATAGATATAAAACGCCTATAAATTTAACCAATAATCTTGATGACCAAACAGATGCAAACCAAGAACAGGTTTGCATCTTGGTTTGCATCTGTTTAGTCATCGAGATTATTGGTTAAATTTATAGGCGTTTTATATCTATCTTGCTTACTTTTAGGAACTTTTGTTTGACAAGTTTCTGTAACGATCACGCAATTGTTTGCATTTTAAAAGCAGTTGTAATCTGTCTCGTTCTTCCTTTGCTGCTTTCAACTCGCAGCAGGTTGAAATCAATAATGCTATGTCATCTTTTTTTTCTTTTAATGCCGTTTCCAGAGGAGTTAAGCCGAAATCATCGCGCATATTTGTGTCGGCACCATGTAGAATGAGAAGACGAATCATAGCCTTAAAGTCTCTGCAATAAAAAAGTACAAGTTGAAGCATGTGATAATTTTGTTACAAGACTCTTTGTAACATGAGATACTTTGTATATGAAACTTTATAATCTAAGATCATACCTAAAAACAGCATAATGAAGAGGAGTTCGACCTAAATGATCTCGACAATTAGGTGTCGTTCCAGAATGAAGCACATCTCTCATTAAACTGGTGTCATTATAATCAATGGCAATATTTATTAATTTTGACTCGCCTTCCATCAAAAACCAGTATTTTATTGGTTTGTGGTCACATACTACATCGTATGATACACCTTTTCTATATCGTAAGTATATTGCTGCATGAAAAAAATAATTACTATTTAGTAGTATTCAACATATTTGTACATTCAATTTTTATTTGAAAATAAAAGAACTAATTGTACTTCAAGTAACCGTAATATAAAGAAAAATTAGTAACACTTATTTTCATTTCAATAAAAACTTTGTTCAAACAATATCATTCAAATAAATATATTTACCTTGTCTCATTATAACACAAGCACAATCGTCTGATAGTAGTTTATTAAGCTTGAAGCTTGCTGCCCACTCACTTTTGGGTTTCTTCTAAAATAACAATTTTGGTTTTTTATTTCAATTTTTATATCATTTATCATACATTCTTCATTAAACAATTGCTAACTTTTCATTAACATTAAAGTTTTAAATTCTCTTTTCAATTATATATATGTTAGTAACATACATCTACATTTAATTTATTAGACATTTAATTTATTAGAGAATTTATAAAACAAAAACGCTGACAATAAAATATTACATACAGAGACTGGAAAGATTTATAGGATATTCAATTTTTTTTTTAATTGTGTTTTCTTCTGTATAATTTTACATATATTGAAATAATCTTAACTCTGCCTACAGACCTCAAAAATGTACTTACGAGTAAGACAGACTAGGTCTGACCTATGCAATTTTAACTCTTCGCCTGCAGACATGAGTCTTTTAGACTTACTCAAAAATGGCAAATCGACTTTTCTAGAAAAAGTTAGTGTTTTTTTAAACGCAAGTATCTTCAAAACTACTAAAGATTTTTTCACTTTAGTTTTTTTATCAACGCAGAATTGTTCAAACTTTTAATTCAAGAAAACAAAATTGAAAAAAATATTAATTTTTCGCGGAGATATCCGATTTTAAAGTCGCATGGGTCTCACAAACCAAGTCTGTCTTACTGAGGTTTGTAGGCAAAAGATTAAAGATATCTCATCTCTTAAATCTTAAGCTGGAGTGACGGCCATTGCTACGTCGCCTAGCGTGCCAAACAACACCATAGTCGTATTCATAATCAGATTTTATATTTAAGATCGTCTTAAGTTTGTTTTCAGATAACGTAGTAATTGTATAAGCTGCGGAGCATCTGAAAATATACTTAAAACGATTTTATAAATACAAGATTCGACCATGATTACCGGGCCATGTAAAAATTTGGTGTGGCAAAGGCATTGTTGACAAAACAAGAACATATTTAGCAACACATAAAAGATATTCTTTTTGAATTAATAAAAAAATTTGGTAAAAAAAGAATCTGTCTGTATAAAATTTTTTAATTTGAAAAGAGAACAAAACAAAAGTTAGAAAACAAAAGATAGCTTCTGATAACAAGATAGCTAAAAAAATATAAAAAATTGTATCTGAATTATTTATTTGTTTCATGTAAATACAAATTAATAAATATTATATAATTATGTATAAATAATATGTATAAATATTGTATAAGTTAAATATTTGAGTACTGTTTCAGTAATATAGTAATTACCACTACAAATTCGACCTGGCCAAAACTAGCAAATCATTTAAATCATTTTATTAATAGATTTTTCAAAGTTGTGACACATAAGTTTTTTCTTTTTTTTAAAAAAAACAACCATCCGTGTTTTTCATTTTTATATTGAAGATCTGTAGTTAAATGTTTTTTTTTCATTGCACATGCCACAGGAAGATTAACAAAATACGATAAAGAAAAGTAACGGAACATTTTTAAGAGTACAAGTAACTACTAGCTTTCACTAACAAACAACCGATTAAAAGTTAACTTATACTTGGCAATGAGCGCATTAAATCGTTTCTCACATAAAAGTTGCATATTTCATATAATATTAGAATCATATTCGTATTAATTTGAACAGGCACGCTGAATGATGTCATACGACCGACGCGGTTTGAACGAAAATTCATCGAAAATCGGACCGGCACGGAACGTGTTAATAAGTCTTATCAATTTCAAGACATTTGTATGAAACTCGTGGTTTTAGCGCCATATCTACAAAAGGAACAACTACCTTAAGCATTTAAGATTAAAAATATTCAACAAACTAGCATTTTCTATTGTGTTAATTATTGGTCGTTTTCAGATGAGATTTTCTCCTATTTATAAAAGAAGTATATAAAAAATGAATTCTCTACTTTACAAAAGAATGAGCGTTTTGTTGTTTAAATAGGCTAACGTTAAAAATTTTTCTTCTACAAATTTCATCTTATGAATGCAACGTACCTTTTTAGATAAATTCAGTGGGAGAGTTCTCTTGCGCTTCTTCCCATCTATGATATCACTATCACTATCAGTATCTTGACTACTATACAAAAATTGTTTTTGTATAGTAGGCCAACCCATGATTCAGACTTTTTTTTCTTAGATTCAATTCAATTCAATTCAATCAATGTAATGGCCAGTAGGCACAGATGAAACCAATGCACCAGGACTCTTTTATACGCTTCTTTTTTGCGCGTTCTTCTTTGCAATTATGGCTCTACAGACCTACTCTGTTAGTCTATACGTCAGTTTGTGTCTAAATGTAAATTATTTGTTGAAGACGAACTTGTGTGGAACATCAAATTCTTTCTAAAAAATCTTCTGTGTCACTGAGCACTTGTAACCGTTGGCTCGGTCGCCGTTACTTCTCTTATAGACGCACAGGAAATGCCGCACAACTGTTGAACATAGATCGGAAATGTTCGCACCATGTGGTCAGCAAATAGAAAAAAACACAGACGGAACGCACACAGACGAACAGCCGTGTACGTGTGCGCTCAGCGCTTCAGCGAGTGGCTAATCGCTTGTGTGCGTATCCCTTCCACTTGCTGCAGGAAGTGTTTCCGATCTGACATCTATGTAGCTATGTACTATTGTAGCATAGAAAAACGTGTTCATCAAACACGTGTTTTCATTCAGGTTCAGTCGGTTAGGTTAGGTTAGGTTAGTCGAAAAGTTAGATAGGGTGCGTTCAGACAACTCAACAGTTGCACAACGGTTGAAAGATAATCACTTCTGATTGGATCATACTTTTGGAACCGAATCAGATTTTGAAGAATAGTTCTATCATAAGTGATGATCTCTCAACCGTTGAGTTGTCTGAACGCACCCATTAACTTAAGTCACCGAAGTTATATTATGTTTTGAATAACATAATAAATTTCGGTGAATTAAAATTATGTCAAGATATAATAATAATTGTAAAGTTTTATTACGTCAAGACATGATAAAAATTTGACGACTTAAAAAATATATGCTCTCAGTGCTAGCCTCAGTTGCTTGATCTTCCTCGACACTTGGGTCTTGTTCCGTTATTACTGGCAGTATTGAACAATCTATAGGAATACGTAACGTGAACCTATAAATTTTCAGTACTGCCAGTAGTCTAGTTTCCACCGAAGCATTGGGTGCGTTCAGACAACTCAACGGTTGAGAGATCATCACTTATGATAGGATTATTCTTCAAAATCTAAAGCGGTTCCAAAAGTATGATCCAATCAGAAGTGATTATCTCTCAACCGTTGTGCAACTGTTGAGTTGTCTGAACGCACCCATTAATTCACACCTAATGCGACGTAGAATCAAATTCAAGTCGATGGAAACCTGTCAAATTGTGCTGATTTCACTTTCGCTTCGATCTACAAGTACTCTACTTACAATGGAAACGGAGCACTAAATTTGATCAGTACCGGGCTGTGTTCAGTTAAGCAAGATGGAACGAACTAATGNAGGAAATGCAGGAAATACAGGACTTGGAACTAATGAAACTAAAGGGTCGTCTACAATTGAGAGTTGTAGGCCGTAATAGTAAGAAATTGACCAATCACAGATAAAGTACAGAAGAATAATCGATTGTGATTTGTCAATTTCTTACTGTTACGGCCTACAACTCTCCATTGTAGACGACCCTTTAGTTTCATTAGTTCCAATTCCTGTATTTCCTGCATTTCCTCCATTAGTTCGTTCCATCTTGCTTAACTGAACACAGCCCCGGAGTGAAACCGAATTGAGGGTTTCGGTGGAAACTAGACCAGTAATAACGGAACAGGGGGTTGGACTCGTGCATATAGAACTGTATAGAACAAAAGAGAATGGGTGCGTTCAGACAACTCAACGGTTGAGAGATCATCACTTATGATAGGACTATTCTTCAAAATCCGTTTGGGTTCCAAAAGTATGATCCAATCAGAAGTGATTATCTCTCAACCGTTGTGCAACTGTTGAGTTGTCTGAACGCACCCAATCGCATGTTGTGCTTTACCGCGCATTTCAATATGTTCAAACTCGAGCAATCACGAGTAAGTTCCAATTGGCGCAACAATCGCTAGCGTAGGTCGAGTTTACAATATTCCGTTGCATTGGTCACTTTACCAAACATAACCAATGCGATTGGACAATGTGGACGCGACCTATGTTTGCAATTGGTGCAAGCGACAAGAAACACCGAAACTTTCTCCGTGACCGACGCGCAACTCGAGGCGGAAGAACTCGACTTCTATCATTCAAATCGGTAGGTAGTTTTCACTATTTTTGTCATTTTTCACGTAACTAATTGTGATATGCATGTACCACAAAGTGTCGGACGTTTGAAACAACAAGTATTTAGTACCGCACACGCGTCGAAAACGATGCAAGGCTGTCAAAGTGTTTCGCGCGCAGTAGCATTTCCAAGAACACGTTAGAGCATTTCCAAGAATGGCCAGCTCAAGTACGTTTCTTTTCTAATTGTTTTGTTATTTCTTCGCGTTTGTTACTATCTAGCGCGCGAATATCGGTAGTTCGCGAAAATTAATACATGTCGCAAAATGTACGGGTGTACGCATTGAGACAAGTTTTATCGCCCAAGTAGAGCTTGCCGTCCGTCCTCTTTTCCCTGAACACCGTCTTTTTCTTGGAAATGCCGAAGACGGGTGGATTTTCCAAAGACGTCCGGGGTGATTTATGCTCGTCCATCGGTGTTTCAGGGAATCTTGTTGTAAATATTTTACTTTATTTCTCTCGCGTTGCTCTGAGGTTGGATAGCTATCCGTCCTCTTTCTTTCCCGGACATCTGATGGCAATCCTAATCGCAAGTGATAACGAAGCATTACAATCAATTATGGCGCGGCCATTTTCTTGTCAGTAATATTACGAATTCCATATTACGTCTTGACTATGAATTCAATTCATATATTGAAAATTCATACTCTTTTTGTAAATGTTTTCTGTATTATAGTTTTTATACAGTAGAGAAACAAAAAGTTACATATACATATAAATGTTTACATATTGAATTAATTGCAATAAATATGTTTACATATTTTACAGAGTCCAGAATTAGAAGGCAGTGTAGGACGTATCAAAACAGTTCGTACAATCTGTAAACAAGAAAATGCATTATAAATGTAGAATGACTTGCAATTGAAAAACTATGAACCATGGCTTTTTTACCCGACTTATTTCTTACAATTGGAACGTGATTCCGGGAAGAAGGTACGTTTACATTCATTTATTTTGGTAATCAAGTTTTTATTTGTTTATATTTATGTAGATTTTTCTATTAGCTGGCTGAAAGAAGAAAAGTGCAACAAGTGCAATGATCTGATTTCAAGTGATACTGTGGATCTTTTTAAGAGGAAGAGAATCTTAAATCGGTAAGCTGAAAACAAATTTTCTGCGATTGTAGTTCACGGTTTACGACAATGGATATTTATTGATGAATAAACGCGACGAACGTTCGAATCCGCAACAATTATTAGCCGCACTAGTGTATGACACTAATGTTTTAGATTTTAAAGGACTATAAAATGAGACGGTCGTTAAACCGGGAATGACTTCCGTTCAAAAGAAGGTGGAAATTTGTTCGCGAGATAAATCAGAGACATTGCTTAGTAAACGTAACAATAAATATAAATTTGAGTATAAATTTTACTATTAAAGCAATATCGATCAGATCTAAAATGAGAAGAATAGAAATTTAAAAAGTTTGTTAACATGTTAAAATATTATGCAACATAATATTACCACGTTGTTTATGTTAAACATATATAAAGTATGGAATGGCCATTAAATATGAAATTAAATATGAAATTTCCTCTTTTATGCTTTTTCAGAACGCTGGAAATTGAAAATATATGAATAATTTAATAGAATTACACAATAAGACGCCTGTATGGAATGATGACATAATCATATGTGCTAAACTTTCATGGACGAGTAATTTAGGCATCTGTAAAAAATTTTCAAGTTGTTCATGATGGTAAGACAATGGATGGGAATATTTAAATATTTCTATTTTATATGCTATATTTATATATAACTGAGAAATATCATTCAGCCTCTATCGATTCATATATTTACTAATTTATTAAATTTAACTTATACTGATGAAATGTAATCTAATTTCAGTGGACTATATTGTAATGTGCAGTTTTGTCGAGTCTTTGAGGATGTTTTTACAATGGATTTCCTCTTTGTACAATCCAAGCCATTGTTTTGAGTAGTTTCGACAATAAATTAGTCTGTGGATAACAACAAGGCCGATTGATCGTGAACAATCGAGTAAGTATTATGTGTACTTGTTTCCAAATTATATTACTTTAAGTAGTTACCTTTCTAATGAACAATCAGTAGGGATTACCTGATATCACTCTGATTCGGGTACAAAACGGTATCAAACTGTTACAAAAACTTGATCGCATGAAATGAGAAGTGATATATGTACGTGTTCACTTTTCTGTACTTTATCATAACACGAATATATTTACAAATATTTTAGATTTATTTTTATCATTCAATTTTTATTTGGTTTTTTGTGATAATAAAATATATTTAAATTATCATTGTTATATTACGGGAAAGTGCAAAAAAATTCTTAAAACATTAGTTGTTATATAGCCTACAAATAGATATAATTTTATTACAGTGTTTTTCGTATGTTCTAAAGCATCACAGTTAGTCGTTTTATTATCGATAATATAAAATTTCAAAGAACGTAACTATAATTCTTATAAAAAGAAAACTGTTCTTTTTTTTTCTGTGTTATATTAATATATAAAAATTACCACAAAGATATAATAAAATCTATTCACATGTTTTATGTAATAAAAAATATATGCTAAGAAATATATTAATTGAAAGAGTAATGAACAAAATTTTGCGCCTCTTGTTACACGATATTTTTTTGTTATGATTACATGTATATGTTTATTTCTTTAATAATTAACAGTGTTCTAGTAATAATTTGTACATTTATAGAGTTTAGAAAGAAGCACATGTATAAAAATCTATGATCAATTTATTATTTTTTATTATCATGTGAAGAGATGTGTAATTTGTGTCAGAAAATTCTGAAAAAGGTGAAACACATGAAAGCCTGAAAATATTACTATATTAAGCATTAACTTTTATCGTTGAATGTTTCCAATGAAAATCCAATATTAATTAAGAAACTTTTTTAAGTGACTTTTGTTTTATTATCAATACGGAGATGTTTCCCAAAAAATTACATAAAATTCTTATGTGTGTATTATTTATAATTTTTCTGAATATTACATGTTTTTATATATTTTATATTATTTTTTATATTATTTGCAGCATGCGTAAAGAATTAATTAAAGATTTTGGTAGTTTATAGACTAAGTTAATTACGTACATACACAAGACACAAGATGTCATCTTAAAAGCAATCAGGATGCATCTTATGCTAGTTAAATGATTGCTACGC